AAAAAAAAAAAAAAAAAAAGATGAATATGTATCATTATACATAATGTCGCGGTATGAAAATAAGTCTGATTTCACGTGTATCGAAATCCGTTTTACTTCTCTGTTCTCCTCTCCTTTCCTTTCTCCGAAACTCCATCCATCTTTAACGTCGCATCGTAACTTATATATAGTTTTAAGTAGTTGACGATCTTCGGTTTTGTTGATCTATTTTGTTTTAAATTGATAACTTATATGCTCGCTCGCTAAATTGAATTTCTATCGATCAATTGTCATCGATCATTTGTATCGATTGTAGCGTAATTAATTTTCCTGAAGCAATAATAAAAATAATACTTGTACAGAAATTAAAAAGATCTTTTCGCCCGATATTACGGATAATTGTCACGCAGATCGATTATTTTGTAATTAATTAAGTTTCCGTTACTTATAATTTACAAGCAATTCATAAAATAAGCTAAATTTAGAGGAACGAATTTTCATCACTGGGAGGTGATCCTGTAGTTATTCTTTCCGTTCGATGCTACGAAGAGAGCAAGTGCATTTTCCGCCTATGAGAAAGCACGTTAATAGTCACGATCACTTCTTAATAATACATTTCGATTAATATAGCCTTCCCATAAGCGAATATGCATCTTAACGCACTTTCTCTTGACCTTTCATGATTCCTTCTTATGGTGTAATTTCATTCGCACTGATTGATTATCAAGCGGTAATATATAATTGCACATATTTTCGTCGTGTAACGATAAGCATCGGGATTTTCACGTGTGTGAAAGAAAATTTCAAAAAATATTATGTAACATGCGTATACCGCGTATACCGCGTATAAATAATTTCAAATGCTCGCAGATTAAAATAATTATCTTCTTTGTTTTGCAAAGAGAATGAGAGAATGACTTACAGGACTGTAGTGTTGGAGGGCACTCGCGGCACCTGGGTCAGCTTTAAAAACATGCATCGCACCTGCGTCGTGCCGTTGTAACACACGCATTTCTGTGGGCATTCCACCGTTGTTTCAGCAGCTTGCGAGGGATCTGTCACAAGTAGGAGCGGCGGAACCAGCAGCATCCAGACGAACAGGTCCATGATCCGCCTCATGTCCTTCGCCTCGATCGTCGCGGTGCGGCTGGTAAGGGCCGGAATGAGAGATCCGAGAGATGTGTCCACGCTCCACGGTAGGAGTAATCTCTGGTGGTGTCGCGGTGCTCCGCGCGCGCGCGCGCGCGGCACCACGTGGAGTTGCGTCGGACGTGCGTGCACTCTCTCTTTTTCTTTCTCAAATACACTTTCGCCACATCAACGATTACAGGATCAAGAGAACCGAGAGAGAATCTCCGGCCGAAGGAAGGAATCGATACCGAAGTTGAAAGGAGTACTATCGCGTTCCTCGCGAGAAGAAGCGAGTGGCGATCGCGGGAGGCGAAAGAGATCAAAGAGAAGAGGAAGGAAGCTGAAGGAAGCGCGCCGCCGCGACTACCCGTCCAGTTCCCGAGCGGCGGCAGCCACTACTGTAGAGCTGTAAAGCTACGTGACTCGTACTCGCGTCTCGCGTCTCGCGGGATCCCGTCCAGAGAGAGGCCGTCCATCGCGTGGCGTCGCTCGGGAGTACAAAAGAGTTCCCCGGCCCCGAGCGCAAGACTCGCTCCTCGCTCCTCGCTCCTCGCTCCGCTTTCCCCTCTCACCGCTTCGCGACTGTCGACTGTCGCCGCACCGTCGAGGCACGTTGGGCAGTGTTGGACGCTGTTGGGCACTGTTGAGCTACGAACCGCAAAGTACCAGCAGAATACCAGCGCTCCTCGTATGTAAATTAGGAATACGTTTCCACACGTGATGTATCCATACTAACGATAGTTATGCAAGGAAACTTCACTTTCAAATCTGCGAGATAATGATCATTTGTTTAATTCAAAAGTATAAAAAGCCTCGAATGAAGATTTGCTTTTCAAGATGTTTTTTTTTTTTAATTTCCACTTAGTATTTAGCATTTGTTTTCAATAATAATAGTTTTTTTTTTTCGATTTTTTTTTGAATAATGATCAAGTCCTAGTCAGTAGGACTTGTAGTAGGTCAGTAGGAATGTTTCGCATATTTAAACAGTCTCTCGGTATTTTATCTCGATCTAGATTCGATAATTTAATATAAGTAATAGTATCGAGATATCGATACATTTTGCTTTAATGTCAATAACCATTTTCGATAATCTTTGTGACATAGAAATATTAATACATATCTTCATATCAATAATTTCTTTTCTTATATATATATATATATTTTATTTTTGACATGATTATACGCACACATATTTCAGAGATTTTATTGTAGTTTGTCGTAATGTGTATTCAGACTTATGATCTTAAGATGATTGTAATTTCATACATGTGCTTACTCGTCACAGCGAGTAGCACAGAACAAGTGGACCACGGATAGGCGTGTTCCACGTTTCCAGTACACCTGAATATACATAAAGCAGCGTAGCGATTGGTCTTGGGTAGAGACGCAATGCCCGTGGACGTGAATGTCTACCGAGCATTTTACATTGCTCGCATACATTGAAACGAGAGAAGGAAAGTAGCAAATGGATGCATTAGTGGCCTGTAGCTATTGCTGTTTATATTTAGACCGCATAAGTACAGCGATGGTATATACACTTGTTTGAGTAAATCCGTGATATTGCGCGACAACCTGTAACGAGACCAGCCGGAATATTTGCGGCGATCAAGCTGAATAAACGTTCATGATGATTGGAAATATATACTTGAAGATACACGAACGATCAGTCGATTTACAACAAGGCGCCACTCATATTTCTTTTATCGTATTTACTTTACTTTACGTTTTTATTTTTTGGATGCACAGCATGCAGTTAGAATAGCAAATAGAAAAAAAGATTTGACAACTTGTGCAACCTTTAAAAATCTATCTACGAAATTCTTTTTCTTTCACTTGCGCGGTGCACAGCGGTGCACGAGAGTTCATTTGCTTTGGAATTGCATGCATAATTTGTACATATATAAATGTGAAAGTATTGCAGAAATACGTAACCATTGATATTGAAGCAGGCATAACCGTTGTGTAAAGATAACGGTGCTTAATTGAATTGATAGTTTGGCGAGAGTGCCGTGTGATGACGAGTAGCCGCCGCGATCTAGTTTACAAATAGTACCGCGCCATTGATCCGCCTGCATCGGTGTATTATATTCTCTAGACATCGTGTGATATCACTGATCTTACAATTCGGAAATGAACTTTCGGCCGTATTGATCACATTATCGTCTTTATCATATTTCGCTTTGATCATTTGCTTTTAAATGGGATGATGACATTTAGATCATACATTATAGACGTGAGAACAATTATTTTACATGACAAATTATTTACATGAAAAATTTCAAGAAACATGCAGAATTGTTTCCGTAACAATATCATTCAATAGCAAAAGAAATAGGCACAGGCATTCTATTTCCATTTATAATGCGAGAACGAAAGTCATTGTCGTTTCATCATTCGACACGGCTGTGTACATATACGTGAACAAGAACAATGCAAGTGTAAAGACAAGACGGACATAATAAAAGAATATTAAACGAAAGAGAAAATACAAGTAACTATTACACAGAAAAAATCGAAGGGAGAATTGTAATACGATTAGGTTCTTTTAGGATTGTACGATGATTACATTGGAGGTCATTATGTTGCATACATGCATTGCTTCATTATCTGGATACCATTTAAGCATTCACGTGTTCCGTTTTTCACGTTTATGAGTGTCGAAGCTGACTTTTATTACACGAAGCAATAAGGTATAATTATTACATTACATATATGTATATATATATCTTGTTGTATGTTTTAAATGTTTAAAATAAGAAAACATTATTAAAAGTCAATTATATTTAAAACAAAATTACTTTTTACCAGTTACTATTTCCCGATGTTACATATTTGTCTTCCTTATCCTTTACAACTTAAACAACTGGTAAAGATATTTTCAGCTTTTTTGAAAAAATACTAATTATTTTACAGAATCAATAATTTAATCTTTTGTTATTTTACGTGAAAAGAATGCATTCTTATTACGAGAGAAAAGTTTCGAGAGCATATCGACGTGAGCTTCTAGTCAACACCGTGATGATACCGTGATTTTAGATTAGACTTTATGCGTCAGACATCCCGCATACGTTAGCTGGAGTTATGCGGAGGAAAATTCGTTGACCTTATTATTTTAACGAAGACTGCACTCTCCATATGTATACCGCGATAAAGGATCCGATAATCGATACCGCTTGTCATCTTTGTTGGCCGGCGACGAAAACACGTGGTAGCGCTTTTTAAATTAGTTTATTAGATAAAAATTTAATTATTCGAATAATCTACAAAGATAACAGCTATGTCTAAAGGAGATGTTTCAAAGAAATCTTAAAAATTTGAAATCCCGAATTCTCTTGAAATTGTGATTTTTGAAATTTTGAAAAATTCTTTGAATTTTAGACGATGCAATTTTCTTGTTGGTTGTATTTATTTTATCGATTTATTTTTATTAATTTTTTCGTAATTAATTTAATTTCTAACTATAAAATTATAGTTGCTTTTCTTGGAATTTTCAGATTTAGATTAGTACACAAGAATAGTGGACAGATACAAAACCTAAAAGAAACAAATGTCTCGTGAATCATATAATAATAATGTACATCTTT